TATACATACATATATATATTTCAGCAGTTACGCTTGAACTAGGCAGGGCACAAAAAAGTATTTAAATGAAATTATTTATTTTTTTATTCCCTCAGCAGCCTTAAATTTAGACATCTGGACATCTAGTCACCTCTTGCATGTGTACATAACATGTCCATTTTTGTGAATTGAGATTCTTGTCCTTCCTGGACTGCTTTGTTGACTCTGGCTGAGGCCCGGCCTGCCTTTGTGGTGTTACTTCCTCAATAACACCATACTAAATAAATATAGTGTACTGGTTCATCATGAACTTTACAGTATTTCATGAATTCATTGTAACTGTACATGTGTTAGAAGTTTGGGCAACACTTCTAGTGTAAGAAAGGAATGCACAGAATGACTTTGGTTTCATTTATTCTTTTGTGTCACCAAGCATACAGTTAATTCCAGTCTTTCTTGTCTTGTTTTTTTTAATTTTTAATTTTTGGGCTATCCAATTTACCATAAACCACCATGTGACTGTTAAGAACTGATCAAATCGAAATCTTTGGTTTCACAGGAACCTGCGTGTGTGTGTGTGTGTGTGTGTGTGTGTGTGTGTGTGTGTGTGTGTGTGTGTGTGTGTGTGTACAGGTTTTTCTACACTAGTGGGGACTTACCTGAATACACACCAACTCATGGGGACTTGTGTCACCGTGGTGACCTAAATTGAGGTCCCCATGTGTACAAAAGCTTATAAATCATACAGAATTAGTTTTTTTGAGAAGGACATCTAGTCACCTCTTGCATGTGTACATAACATGTCCATTTTTGTGAATTGAGATTCTTGTCCTTCCTGGACTGCTTTGTTGACTCTGGCTGAGGCCCGGCCTGCCTTTGTGGTGTTACTTCCTCAATAACACCATACTAAATAAATATAGTGTACTGGTTCATCATGAACTTTACAGTATTTCATGAATTCATTGTAACTGTACATGTGTTAGAAGTTTGGGCAACACTTCTAGTGTAAGAAAGGAATGCACAGAATGACTTTGGTTTCATTTATTCTTTTGTGTCACCAAGCATACAGTTAATTCCAGTCTTTCTTGTCTTGTTTTTTTTAATTTTTAATTTTTGGGCTATCCAATTTACCATAAACCACCATGTGACTGTTAAGAACTGATCAAATCGAAATCTTTGGTTTCACAGGAACCCGTGGCTGTTCTGTTTTTTCTTTTGTACCAGCCTCATTCACTGTAGTAGATGAGTGTGAATGTGGCATACTGGTGTTAGTCATGTTTTGTCTTGATGATTGTTAGTCTTTGTACAGTGCATGAGACGTGATATAAGATTTTGACTTCAGTGAGGATGAGGTTAGCTGGAGAACAGACAGCCTGGTTCTTAGCAAGAATGGGACATGGATAAACACAACCACCTGCTCTGCACAGATATTCACACAGACTCACAGATTAAAGAGATTTCTTTAAGTATCACAACTCATCTAATGGGTTAGTTAGACCGTCTGCCAGTACTTCCTGCCCTCCCCGTCACAATGGAGAGGTTAAACTGCATACGTGTGCTCAAAACTTGACAGAATACTGACAGTTCTGTCTAACTAAATCTTCTGTGTATGGATTAGTTTACCCCTACACCACAAAAATCTGTCATAATTACACTATTTACAATCTAATCAGTCTAAAACCAGTGTTATTGTAGTATTATTTACATACTATTATAGTATTTGTTAATATTTTAAATTAGCCTTTTTACATAGTTTAAGTAATTGTAGTGTTTTTGTTTTTAATTAGCTTTAATTTTGTATTTTAGTTTAGTAATTTTAGTGTTTCAACTTAAATATATTTATTTCAGTTAGTTTCCAACATTTTTCAATTTTCATCTTTTTAAGAGTGAGCTTTTCATCTAATAATTATATTTTATATAATTTCAGCTTTTTCAACTAACAAATATGTTTGTTTTTTTAATAGTTTTACACTTCATTATTAATCATAACACTGTTCTAAACCTGTATGAGTTTCCATCTTCTGTGGGACAGAAAAGGAGATATTTTGAAGAATGTGCTGATGACTATTTTTAATGTAGTGATGTGCCATTT